TTTTTTTTTTTTTTTTTGAGACAGGGTCTCTCTATGCAGCTCTGGTTATCTTGGGACTCCCAGAGCAGACCAGGCTGGGCTCCAACTCACAGAGATCTCTTGCCTCTGCCTCCTGAGTGCTGGGATTAAAGGTGTGTGCCACCAAGCCTGGCCCATTATTTAAGGGGAAATGTTTTGGTAAGAATTTGGCTTCACTGATCCCACTACCCTTTGCTACTCCAGGGTTCTGTCTGGACATTGCCCGTTCTATTCCCCACATTTCTAACTGATCGCCTTAAATTTCCTCCACCAGCTGGACGGTGGTGGTGCACGCCTTTAATCCCCAGCACTCGGGAGGCAGAGGCAGGTGGATCTCTGTGAGTTCAAGGCCAGCCTGGTCTACAGAGTGAGATCTAGGACAGGCACCAAAACAACACAGAAAAACCCTGTCTCAAAAAAAAAAAAAAATTCCCTCCACCACATTAGAGGCCTGCAGAGTAGAAAGGTATGCCTTTGGGGTGTCGGAGGAATCTGGGCTCTCACCTGGCTCTGTCATTTCCTGCCTGTGTGACCTTGGGCAAGTACCTTCATCTCTCTGAACGTTGTGCAAGTACATTTTAAGTAATCTCTATCTTGTGCCACGGGACCTGGCACTATGCAGTAGTCACCACAGCCTCTGTCTTTGGGAACTTTTATTTTGGTGAGGAGACTTATAAAGACATAATAAGCAAGCAAATAATCTCAGAAGGGCTGTGTTAATGAAGACAGTGGAAGAAGGGACTGCGGTCTGCACACTGCAGGAGGAGGAAGGGCTTCTTTTTTAATAAAGCCATCAGGGTGAAAGTGACATTCGAGCCGGGGTGTGGCGGGTGCACACCTTCAATCCCAGCCTGCAGCGGCAGAAGTGGGTGGGTCCCCTGTGAGTCTGAGACCAGCCTGGTCTACATGGTGAGTTCTAGGACAGCCAGAGCTGCCCAGAGAGACCTTGTCTCAAAACACAAACAGCCGGGCGGTGGTGGCGCACGCTTTTAATCCCAGCACTCGGGAGGCAGAGGCAGGCGGATCTCTGTGAGTTCAAGGCCAGCCTGGGCTACAGAGCGAGATCCAGGACAGGCACAAAGCTACACAGAGAAACCCTGGCTCGAAAAATCAAATCAAATAATAAAAAAATAAACAAAAAAGTGCCGTTTATTTTGAGTAATGGGTGATAAGAGCCGGCTGTGAGGTGCACGCCGCGGGAGAAGAAGGCTTTGTTGTGTCGAGCTGGGGGCAGAGAGCGAGGGAGAGAGGGGAGAGGTGAAGTCAGAGGGTGGCCGGGGCAGATCCACAGCTCCAGATGCCAAGAGCCTCACAGCGTTTGGAGCAGGCGACCAGGCGGAGAGCTAGCGCAGGACTCCGCATCCAGCAGGCGCTCAGCGCACGCACAGTAGCTGTTCGGGCTGCTACCCCCCATCCCACCCCCCATCCCCGCGCTCCTCTCCTCCCCCTCCGGCCGGGGACCCTCCTGCGCTCCCCTTACCTCTCTGCCCCTCTCCTCACCACCATCCCTCCCCGGCGGCGGCAGGAAGGGGATGGATCCCGGCATCCAGGAAGCCTCATCCCCCCCCCCCCACCCTCCACCCTCACCCCTCCCTCCCGTCCTCCTCCCCACCCTCCCACAGCAGCCCAGTGATTTTCCTGCCTCTTCACAAGGCGATTTTTATTAAACATCTCGAAAAAATATTCTCTCACTCCCTCTCTCTTTATTTATAAAAATCAACTTAACACCCTGCTCCTTTGTTCTATTTGGATTCTAGAACAGCCTGGTGTATATTTAGCTGAAATCCCGCTCCTTTCCCCACAGATTCCGGCTCAGCCCCGACTCCGGGGGAGGAGGGGGGGGGGAGGAGGGGCAGGGGCTGGGAGCCCGGGGGGCTCGCGGGGGTCCGTCCCTTGCGGGCCGGAGGAGCGTCCTTTCCGAGTCCAGGCTTGGCCACCTCGGTCCTCCTGCCACGCTATCCCATACAGATGTCCTCGAAGAAGAGAGCGAGCGAGCGAGCGAGCGAGCGGATGGAGTGGAAGCCCTGAGCCCTGATCTGGAGCCAGCAGTGGAAAGTGGGCCTGGGTTCAAGCCCCAGCTCTCCTCACCCCCCTGCCCATTTGGATGTTAAGGAGCGACAGTGGGTGCCAACATGCTTATGACACTTGAGAGGGCAAACCAGGGCTGTCCTTAAGGATGGCACCGCTCCGCACAGAAGCGGCTTCCTCCAGGAGGCCTTCCCATGTTAAGCCGCCTCTATTCAAGCTAACAGCATCCGCACTGTGACCAACTGGCAAGGGGATTCTGGAGACAATGAGCAGGGTCCTTCCTCCCAGGACCTTAGCCTGAGCAGGGAATCTGGAAGTGGACAGCGCGGCACTTGTTTTCATGGATACATGAGGCCTCTTCTCCCTTTGCACAGAGCCGAACGCGCACTTGGCACATAAGGAACCCACACAGGATAATGCTTACCGCATTATCTGGGGTAGTGTCTGGGGGTCAGGGACAGCACAGAATTACAGGTTTATTTTGCAAGGTCCGGGCTCCATCACCAGCACAAAACAGGAGGGCCAGGGGTGCAAATAAATAGGACTCAGTCATCAAACCGGGAAGGGAATGTTTTGCGGGGTCTGAAGGAGTGGGAGTGGGTGGGGTGGGGGATGGGCAGTAGGAAGTGCTTATAATCAAGACACATTATGTATGTCTTATGAAGTTGTCAAAGAATCGATGAAATACTTTAATAAAAGCAAATTGAGTAAAATTTCACAAAAGATTTGCAAATAAATAACCAATAGTCATATGCAAAGAGGCTCAAACATCTAGGTTTAAAATCACAAGATACACCGGGCAGCAGTGGCGCACGCCTTTAATCCCAGCACTTGGGAGGCAGAGCCAGGCAGATCTCTGTGAGTTCAAGGCCAGCCTGGTCTACAGAGGAGATCCAGGACAGGCATCAAAACTATACAGAGAAACCCTGTCTCGAAAAACCTAAATAAATAAATAAATAATAAAATAAAATCACAAGATACCACAAACAAATTGGACCGGCTGACAAATGGGTAAATAAATTACGGTATATCCATACAAGTGATTGAATAGTACTCAGCTATGAAAAGGAATCAAATGCTGAGTTATGCTACAATGTGGATGAACCTCAAAAACACTATGTTTTTACCAGATGTGGTGACACCTGCCTGTAACCCCAGCGCCTGGGGGCTGAGGCAGAAGGATCCGATATCCAAAGCCAGTCCTTCCATATAGTGAGACCCTGTCTCAAGAGGGGGGGGGGCGGAATTAGGGTCTGGAGAGAGAGTTCAGCAGTTAAGAGCACATGCTGCTCCTGCAGGGGACCTGAGTTCAGGTCCCAGGACCCACACCAGGTGGCTCACAACTGCCTTTAACTCCAGTTCCAGGGGACCCAACATCTCTGGGCTCTACAGACGCTTGCATCCATGTGCACACAACCAAACACAGGTACACACATATATACATATCATTTAAAAAATACCGAGCACTCAGGAGGCAGAGGCAGGCGGATCTCTGTGAGTTCCAGGCCAGCCTGGTCTACAAAGCGAATTCCAGGAAAGGTGCAAAGCTACAAAGAGAAACCTTGTCTCAAAAAACCAAAAAATAAATAAAAATAAAAATATTTTAAAATAAAATAAAGATCAACAGTAAGTATTCATGATATATAGCTATATATGAATATATATACCTGACAAAGAATGTGTACTTGGAATTAAGAACCCTGAGTACTTGAGTGAGGCTGTGGCGGCAGTGGTGGCGCACACCTTTAATCCCAGCACTCAGGAGGCAGAGGCAGGCGGATCTCTGAGTTTGAGGTCAGCCTGGTCTACAGAGCGAGATCCAGGACAGCCAGGGCCACACAGAGAAGCCCTGTCTCAAAAACAACAGCAACAACAACCAAGAGCCCTTAGTACCGAGACCAGAGAGCAAACCCACCGCAGGCAGTGTCTGCAAGATGGCTCCTCCCAGGGTAAAGGTGCTCGCCACACAAGCCTGGCACCCTGAGTTCAACTCCTCGAACCATGTAAGGTGGGGAGGACCGGCAGAGGATTGTTCTCTTCTCCTCCCAGTCCCCCTACACTGTGGTGTGCGCGCACGCACTATAATACATTTTTATTTTATTAATATGAGTGTTCACCTGTGTGTACGTATGTGCATGTACCACACGCATGCCAGGTATCTCAGGAGGCCAGAAGAGGGCATCACATCCCCTGGAACTGGAATTACAGGTGGCTGTGTGCCACATGTGGGTGCTGGGAACTGAACCTGGTTCTCTAAAAAAGCATCCAGTGTTCTTAACCACTGAGCCATCTCTCCAGCCCCATCCATCCTTTTCTTTCCTTTTTTTTTTTTTTTTTTTTTTTTTTTTTCGAGACCGGGTTTCTCTGTGTAGCTTTGCGCCTTTCCTGGAACTCACTCTGTAGACCAGGCTGGCCTCGAACTCACAGAGATCCGCCTGTCTCTGCCTCCCGAGTGCTGAGATTAAAGGTGTGCGCCACCACCGCCCGGCTTTCTTTTCTTTTTTAAGTAGGCAAAAGTGACTGAACAAATGCTTTCACAAAGGAAGACATGAAAATGGCCAGTAAGTACAAGAAAAGATCTCCAGACTGGTGATCAGCTGGCGGGGAAGTACAAGCTAAAACCAAAAAAACGACACCCCTGCACACAGGTTAGAATGAATTTAGAGCAAAACTTCTAAACACACGGTATTGGGGGGGACACGGAGTGTAAAGCAGCAGTTATGCTGGGGAGGCTGACAGTCCCTTATAAAGCTAAACAGGCACCTCTCTGTGGTCCCGTTATTCGACTCCCAGCCATTTACCTGAGAGAAATGAAATGCGTATGCATACGAAAGGCTGACACATGAACTTCACAGCTTTATTCTTTAGAAAAAAAATAATTTGATGTGTCTGCGTGTGCACCTGAGTGTGCATATGTGTGCACCACGTGCGTGCAGGAGCCCAGAAAGTCAGCACAGGTTGTCAGCTGCCTTGGAACTGGAGCTACAGGTGGTTTGTGCGCCACCCTGTGGGTGCTGGGAACTGAACCTGGGTCATCTGCGAGATTGACAAAGGTTCTTACCCCTGCGCCACCTCTCTAGCCCCTCTGGCTAGTTTTTATTGTCATAACCTAGAGTTACCAGGAAAGAGGGAACCTCAACTGAAGAATTGTCCAGATCAGATGGGCCAGGGGTCCTGTCTGCAAAACTTGTCTAGAACTCACTCTGTAGATCAGGCTGTCCTTGAACTCAGAGAATGCCTGCCTCTGCCTCTCAAGTGCTGAGATCAAAGGCGTGTGCCACCACACCAGTTTATAAAACACTGTCTTAATTGAACATTGATGAGGATGGTCTTGAACCCCTGGTCCTTTCTGCCAATACCTACGGAGTGCTGGGATTATAAAAGTACACTTCCACATCCAGCTTGTTGTCTTATTTATTTATTTATTTATTTATTTATTTATTTATTTATTTATTTAGCTTAAAAGAAGGTCTTACTATGTAGCCTTGGCTGGCCTGGAACTTGCTATGTAGACAAGGCTGTCCTGGAACTTATTGAGATCTGCCTGCCTCTGCCTCCCAAGTGCCGAGATTAAAAGCATCCACTACCATGCCTGGCCCCTGCTTTTGAAACAGGGTCTCACCGTATTGCTCAGTTTGGTCCAAACTCCAGGTCTCAAACAATCCTCCTGTTTCAGCCTCTCGACTAGCAGGGACTACAGGTAAATGACTGTACCTGGGTCTTCAGTTTTTCAAAGTAGGTCTTGGGTGGGTCCTGCCTCTTGGCTTTCGTACCCCAGGGTCACAACCTGAGTAGGGCTCACCTGCGTAATGAGTAGGACATTGTGGAGATGAGAGTCTGTAGGTTTTTAGATAAACCCACTAGACACGCCAAGATCTTGCTCTTGGATTTTTCTGTAGAAGCCAACACCAGGTCCCCGAAGACACATGCACACAGCCCTGGGGAAAGCCACCAGACTCCAGGGCAGCCAGTATCACCCAGTCCAGTGGATCCTGCTTCCTGACTCAAAGGAAACTTGCAAGGTGCCAGGCAGTGGTGGGACACACCTTTAACCCCAGCACTCAAAAGGCAGGGGCAGGGGGACCTCTAAGTTCGAGGCCAGCCTGGTCTACAGAGCCAGTTCTAGGACAGCCAGGGCTACACAGAGAAACCCTATTTCAAAAATAATAATAGATAATAGATATAGATAGATAGATAGATAGATAGATAGATAGATAGATAGATAGATAAAGGTTGGTCACATAATAAATCAAAACCATGCAAGGTAATAAATGTTCTTGCTCAGGCCAGGTTACTAACAGTACCACAAAGTTAGTCCCAACTGCTAGAGAGGCTGAGGCAGGGGGATCCATTGTGCTGAGGAGATCAAGGCTACCCAGGGCAGTACAGCGAGACCGTGTCTCTTAAATCAGTAAGGAGACACTGCTGTTAGACATCATCACATTTGCGGGTAATTTCTTCTGCAGCCGTCATGACATAAGCTAACATTCACGGAGAGCACTGACCACGTGGTTTCTGTCGGCTGCCTGTTTGCCTGGCTAAATCCACTTTCTCCAGGTGTGCCGGCACACACACACCTGCGCTCAGCACTCAGGTGGGAGAAGCAGGTGGAGCTTGGAGCGTTCCAGGCCAGCCAGAGCTATATGGTGAGCTCTTGCTTCAAAATAAATAAATTGGGGCTGGAGGGGTGGCTCAGCTCTTAACTGCTAAGAACATGCCCTGCTCTTCTACGGGATCTGAGTTCAGCACCCCATGTCAGCTGACTCACAGCCACCTGTAACTCCAGGAGGGTCCTTTGCCTCTGGCCTCCTGGGCACTGGCCTCCCAGAGGCACACAGCACACAGACGTGCACACTGAGACTAGCAGGATGGCTCAGTGGATAAAGACGCTTGGCCCCAAGCCTGATGACTAGAGTGTAATGCCTGGGACATACAATGGTGGGAGGAGAGAACTTACTCCTGACCTCAGACCTGCACGTGAGCACTGTGTCACGTACACACACACACACAGACACACACACACACACACACACACACACACACACACACACACACACAGAAGCAAGGAGATCTCTGTAAGTTCCAGACCAGCCACAGCTGCACAGTAAGAAAGACCTTGTCTCAAAATAAATAGGGGCTGGCCACACAATAAATACATCTGTTTTTTTGTTTTTGGAGACAGGGTTTCTCTGTGTAGTCCTGGCTGTCTTGGAACTCTCTGTGTAGACCAGGCTGGCCTTGAACTTGCAGAGACCCACCTGCTTCTGCCTCCTGAGTGCTGGGGTTAAAGGTGTGTGCCACCGCTGCCTGGCAACTTGCAAGGTTTCTTTGAGTCCGAAAGCAGGAGCCACTGGGCTGGATGATACTGACTGCCCTGGAGGCTGGTGGCTTTCCCCAGGGACCCGGTGCTGGGATTATAGGCCTGCGTGTGCCATCGCCGACAGGGTAATAAATCTTGAAGAGAGAAGACAGACTTCAAGAACATCATCCCCATCTATGTAACAAGTTTGAGGTCAGCCTGGGCTACACAAGACCCGGATGGCACAGCACTCAGGAAGCAGAGGCAGGGGAATCTCTGTGAGTTTGAGGCCAGCCTGGTCTACATAATGAATTCTGGGTCAGCCAGGGTTACATAATGAGACCTTGTCCCAGAGGAGGGGAGACAAAAAAAAAAAAAAAAAAAAAAGACTTTGGAGAGGGAGTGGAAGAAGATAAAATGGGGGAAAAGATCCCCTACTTTAGACAAGGAAGTAGATAATGTAAGAGGAACAAGGAGGAAAACACCAAATTGGACACCAAGGCCAAGTTCCGGTGCTCTGCGGGTCCCCGGGCACTAGCGTGACCCGCTGGCACCGAGGATGCTCTCCTGTCCTTCCTCCTTGACGGTTAACAGTGGCCACAGTAGTTTAACCCCAGATCTACTCCGGCAGACGCCGAGGTTCACCAGCCGGGCCAGGGTCAAAGCTGGTGAAGTTCTGGGGATTAACGCAGCCCCGGGACACCCAGGAAGCAGCCCCGGCCTCCCTCGGCGGCGGCCGGCGAGAGACTCGAGTTATTTTTGAAAAGCAAGCGAGGCCTGCAGGCGGCCCTGGCAGAACTCGGAGCTGGAAGATGGGCGAGCCAGGAGCAGAGCGAAACAGACAGCTCCTGCCGAGCCCACGCCCGGTCCCTATGACGTCAGCCCCACGCATTGTGACATAAGACGGTGGCGGTGGCGGCAGGGGACGGGGGGAGGCCTCCTTGCACCCCCCTCCCCGCCTTGGGTGCACTTTTATAAATTGTGGTAAGATATTCATAACCTAAAATTCATCCTTGGGAATTTTTAACAACTCCCCACCACCACCACCACCACCACACCGGAGGGGGCGGGGCGGGGCGGGGCGCTGAGTGACATTGAAGACCGAGTTCTTGCTGGAACAAGAGAGGGAGTGTGGATGCCGGCCAAAAAGATTGGTTCACCAAATGGTGCGGGGAGGTTTTGCTCTGTTTGGGAAGAATTCTGAGATGGGAGGTCAGGTCATCGCCCTGGGGCAGAGCCGGGGCCCGGGGATCAGGGAAGAGTTGACGGTCTTCCATCTCACTAAGGGAAGCGGGGTTAGGGAGGGGTGGGGAGGGGGGGGCAGGAGGGCAGGTGCTCGGGCTGGGAACTGACAGCCGCAGGGGGCAGAAAGCAGCCGAGCAGCCTAATGAGGCGTGCACTGTAAGGGAGAGGTGTTTGCAACTGGGCAGGGGGGGTCATGGGCAGCAGCCAGAGGGAGAGCCATCAAGTCCCCAAAATAACTCACCGCTTCTGCGGGAGAGGCTGGAACGAATCGAGGTGGGAATAATCCAAAAATCCAGCGGAGAGGCTGCCGGGAGCATTGGAAGCCGAGGACAATTAGTGAAGATGTATTTGCTCCCCCCCCCCCACGAGGGGTTGTGGTCCCAGAAAACTGTGCCAACCTAACCAGAAGATCTTCCTCGGGCCTCAGTCAGAAGGGCCCCAGTGGCTGGCACGCTTTCCGACTGGTTTGCCCTTAGCATACGGCTAAGCCTGTGGGCTCTGAAGTGGGGCTGTTGAGATTTGAATTCTCTTCTCCCTCACCCCCGGCTTTGGTTTTCTGAGACAGGGTTTCTCCGTGTAGCCCCTGGCTATCCTGGAACTCGCTCTGTAAACCCGGCTGGCCCTGAACTCAAGAGATTTAAACCCAGAGACTGGAGGTGTGCGCCTCGGACTGTGGATCCCTCACTCCGAGCCTCTGTCTTCTCACCTGGAAAAGGGGATTCAAGTCATACTTGCCCCCACAGGGTAGTGGAGAACAAGAAGTCAGTGTTTGGGGATTTTTATTATGATCCATAATAAAGAGCTATTGCCCGGTAGCTCTGCGGTCTCCCCCCATCAGGGGAAGGGGCCAAGGCGTGCAGAGCCCAAGGCCAGCTGCATGAGGTAGAAATGGAAGCCCCGAGTTTCCAGTTAGATGCCTCAACAGGTAAGGGGTGCCTCCTGCCCAGCCTGAGTTTGATCCCCAGAACCTGTAGTGGAAGGGAGAAGAGAACCAAAAGTTGTTCTCTGGGCCCCTCGTGCACGCTGTGGTGAGCAGCAACCCCCAGTTAGAATGGGAGGGGGCTGGGGAGATGGCTCAGTGGTTAAGAGCACCCACTGCTCTTGTAAAGGACCCAGGTTCGGTTCCCAGCACCCACAGTAAGAGCTCACAACCGGCCCCATGGTGGTGGTCCAGGCCTTTAATCCCAGCACGTGTGAAGTAGAGGCCGGGGGATCTCTGTGAGTTTGAGGCCAGCCTGGTGTACAGGGTGAGTTCCAGGAAATGTTCCAAAGCTACACAGAGAAACCCTGTCTCGAAAAACCAAATAAGTAAATTAATTAAATAAAGCTGGGCGGTGCTGATGCACGGTTCTTTAATCCCAGCACTCGGGAGGCAGAGCCCAGTGAATCTTTTTGAGTTCGAGTACAGCCTGGTCTACAAAGTGAGATCCAGGACAGGCTCCAAAGCTACACAGAGAAACCCTGTCTCAAAAACACCAAAAAATAAAAATAAAAGGAGCTCTTAACTGTCTCTGTCTCCACTTCTAGGAGATACAGTGCCCTCTGCTGGCCTCTGTGGCACCTGCACACATAGGGTGCACATAAACTCAGGTAGGCACATGTAAGTTCACATAAAGAAAAATAAATACACGTTTAAAAGAAATTTAGATTTTGATACGGTCTAGCTGCCCTGGCCCCTCACCACCTGCAAGCAGTTTCCAGCCCCTCCCCCCCACCTCTCTCCAGGCCCTGCAGGAGGCAGATCCAATAAGGACATTGGAGTGAGACATTCAGGGTTCAGTGAGGACGCTTTGCTTTGGACTCACTCTAGGGCACTGGTCAAAGCCCTTCTCTGAGCCTCAGTGGGAGAGGTTTTTTTTTTTTTCTTTCAAACGCCCCCCCCCCCATCTGTTCTGAATCTCTCCCTTCCCCTTTGGGCCAATTAGCCGGGTTGAATCAGACCTTGATGGCATGAGACACAGTCACCACATGTAATAAGCATGAAAGACAGAGGTCAGCTTGGCCACGTGGGCTTGCTAGCCCATTTGGGGTGTGGCACACCATTTTTATGAAAAAAGGAATCCCCTTGCTGAACTAACTGCTCTCACTTTGTGTTCTTTGTGGGACAGTGACATGAGATAGTTGTTCCTCCACACTGTTTCCCTAGCTGCCGAGCAAGGGGCACTAGTGGGAGATTCTAATCCTGGGGAGTCCAGATTTTTGTTCCCTGGCTCTATGGATATTGGGGGATAGACCGTAGAGAGGGGTAAAGGTGGTGCCCAACACCAGCGTTCTCCTTCCTCCTCCCTCTTCCCTGGGGGATGGTTCCAAGTAGAGGGGCCGGAGCAGGTGCTGTCCATGGGAGAGGCTGTGAGCAGACAGCCACAGCCTGCCTCCCTCCTGGGCGCCAGGCGCTGTCCCGTGTAGTGGGGGTCACAGCATTCACAAAGTGTCTTGTCCTCACAGGACTCTTACTGGAGGAAACCTGAAAACCAAGTCAAAATGACTCAACAGCCAGAATAATGTCAGGATGGGAAAAAATATGCTATGTGAGCAAAACCTGATGTCGTTGTGGAGACGGGGTCTCATGTAGACCAGGCTAGCTTCAAACTCACTGTCTTGTTAGGAATGACCTTTAACTCCCAGCCCGTCTGCTTCTGCCTCTTAAGTGTTGGGAACCCAGTCCTTACACCACAACGCTCTGCCCAAAAAGAAAAAAAGGCCAAATCTTTGGAAAGCGAGTCCCGGGGGCCAGGCATTGCTAACAGATGTTAAATCACGTAAGTCCTTAGGACAGCCCTATGTGAGTCAAGGTAATATCGCCACCCTTATTTTACACCTGAGGGAATGGTAGCAGAGAGAGGTGAAGTCAATTTCCTAATGCCACACAGCCATTCAGAGGTAGAGCTGACATTTATACCCAGGCCATCTGGCTCCATGTGCTGCCTGCCCGGTAGGGGCAGCATTAAGTAGGGCAATTTGTCCAGAGAGGAGTCCTGTGAAGAGGCTGACATTTGAGCTAAAATGCAGTAAGACAAGGCAAGTCCAGGGGGCAGAAGGGTCCAGATGGTGAGGACACTGAGTGCAAAGCCCCGGAGGCTGGAACGCAAGGAGACTAGCGTTAGCTGAAGTGGAGGACAGACGCGGTCACAAGGGTGCTAGCCCAGACACATGGGGGTGACATGGCACCCCGTCCCTCCTCCAGGACATTCTGGATCTTCCTCGCTGTTCTGAGGAACGCTCAGAAGTGTGGCCTAAAATGTTTCTTGACAGGAGCAAAGGGCCCTTTCCTCCAGAGTCAGGCCAATTAGGCTCAGGACAAGCTGATCCTCTGCCCTGCACTGTGAAGAAACAGCCTTTGCTGGTCACCCACCCCCTGCTTAGCCTCTGCCCACAGCTCTCCCGCTCCCGGGTGATGGCCTTGGTGCCTGGCAGAGTGGCAGGTGGCTCTACGCTCCCTCACCCAGACACAGGAACACAGAGGACACCTTGCGTCCGCCCTGGCGGGTGCAGAGGCCAGAATCCAGTCATAGCCCAGTGAGGGGGTGCAGCATCCCAAGGCTGGCTTTCGGGGGGGGGGCACTGTCAGGGGGACTCGCAAGGGCTCCTTCGTGCTTTAGACGGACCCTGTGCCGTCTGCCATGTGGCTACCCTCCTGTCAGTATTAGGAAAACGAATTCTTACCCTATAGTGTTGTTGTGGAAATCAAACAGAGCATATGTGAGAAGGTACATTCTGGGGGCTGAGAATGTTCTAGAGCTTATCTGGTATGTAAGATGTGACAAGCTGTGTGTCTTTCTATATATATATATATTTTATGGCTCAATTTTTTTTTTCCGGCAGGCAAAGCCCCTGGCCCTTGGCTAATACCACATAATGTTAGCTAGCATTGGTATGGAATGTTCCATAAATATTTGTTGAGTAGGTCCCAGGACCTTTCCACGCAGCATTTATCATTTATTTCATCCACAGAGCTCTGGAGGCCTCAGACTCGACACTGTGTCTGGGATTGAGTTCTTCTGCTCATCTGTCTCTTCCTCCTTCCTCAGGCTTCCCTAGCTGCCACAGCTTCAGCTCAGAAAAGATGTCTCCCAGCACTCCGGAGGCAGGACACAAGTGGATCTCTGAGAGTCTGAAGCCGGTCTGGTCTATATAGTAAATTCCAGGCCAGCCAAGCCAGCCAGCCAGCCCTACAAAGTGAGACCCTCAGAAAAAAATAATGAAGGAAAATGAAAATGTGTATGCCTATCTTGGCATAGCAGCCCACACCGCTAATTCCAGTCCTTGGAAGGCTGAGGAGATCCGCCTGCCTCTGCTTCCCAAGTACTGGGATTAAGGGCATGTGCCACCACACTCAGTCCTAACTCTCTTTTTAAAAATTAAGGATGGGGCTGGGCAGTGGTGGTGCACACCTTTAATCCCAGCATGCTGGAGGCAGAAGCAGGTGGATCTCTGTGAGTTCAAGGCCAGGTTAGTCTACAGAGTGAGTTCCAGGACAGCCAGGGCTGTTACACAGAGAAATCCTGTCTCAAAAAAACCTAAATAAATAAAAAGATGGGGTTGGAAAAAAACTGGCTCAGTGGTTAGAATACCCTCTTCTGGCTTCTAGGGGTACCCTCACCCCCACCCCCACCCCACAGAAACACACATAAATGAACTTTTTTTTTTTTTTTTTTTTTTTGGTTTTTCGAGACAGGGTTTCTCTGTGTAGCTTTGCGCCTTTCCTGGAACTCACTTGGTAGCCCAGGCTGGCCTCGAACTCACAGAGATCCGCCTGCCTCTGCCTCCCAAGTGCTGGGATTAAAGGCGTGCGCCACCACCGCCCAGCGAACTTTTTTTTTTAATTAAAAGAGGGCTGGCAAGATGGCTCAGTGGTAGGAGCACTGGCTGCTCTTCTGGAGGACCTGGGTTCAATTCCCAACACTCACATGGCAGGTCACACATGTCTGTAACTCCAGTTCCAGGGCTTCTGATACCCCCCCCCCTCACAGACATACATGCAGACAAAACACCAATGAACGTAAAATAAAAATAAATTAAGAAAGATAATTCAATGTTATTGCTCATTAGTTAATCTCCTAAAGGTGGAGAGAGGGTGGGAGGTAAATGTTGGCTAGGAAGTGAAAAAAGGAGGGACTTCTGTCATTTTTGTTGTTTGTTTTTTCGAGACAGGGTTTCTCTGTGTAGTTTTGGTTCCTGTCCTGGATCTCGCTCTGTAGACCAGGCTGGCCTTGAACTCACAGAGATCTGCCTGCCTCTGCCTCCCGAGTGCTGGGATTAAAGGTGTGTGCCACCATTGCCCGTCTGACTTCTGTCATCCTAACCAATTAGAACAGCTGTAATAAAGCACCACGGACTGGGTGGCATGGCATCTAGACCATTGCCAAGTTCTGGAAGCTAGAAGTCTGAGGTGAAAGTGTCAGTCAGCTCAGCCCATTTCTGGCGAGGGCCAGCTCCTGAGACAGACTACTGTCCTCACGGTAGGGAGACAGTAGGAGAGCTCTCAGGTGTCCTGCTTTGGTCAGGGTGTCTCCTGCTGTGATAAAGCACCGTGACCCAAAGCAATCTGGGGGAAAAAGGGTTTGACTCATCTTCCAGTTTAGAGACCATGATACAGGGAAGTCAGAGCAGGAATGGAAGGCAAGAACCTGGAGGCAGGAGCTGATGCAGAGGCCATGGAGGGGTGCTGCTTACTGGCTTGTTCCCCATGGCTTGCTCAGCCTGCTTTCATATAGAACCAGGACCACCAGCCCAGGGATGGCTCCACCTGTAGCAGGCTGGCCCTCCCCCATCAATCACTAGTTAATAAAACGCCCTACAAGCTTGTCTACCGGCCAATTGGATGGGGACACTTTCTCAGTTGAGGTTCCCTCTTCCCAGATGATTACAGTTTGTGTTGAGAAAAGACTAGCCAGCACAGGCAGGGACTCTTTTTTTTAAGCTATTATTAATTATTAAGTGTGTGTGTGTGTGTGTGTGTGTGTGTGTGTGTGTGTGTGTGTGCCTGTGTGTATGAAGGGGTGCATGCATGTCACAGCATGTCTGTAGAGGACACAGAACAGTTTTGTGGAATCGGTTCTCTCTTTCAATCTTTACATGGGTTCCAGGGATCAAACTCAGAATGCCAGGTTTTATCACAAGCCCCTGTACCCTCTTGCGCCACCTCACCAGGCCGGAAGTGTCTCCTTTTGTAAATTTTATTTTATGTATACGGGTGTTTTGCATACATGTCTGTGCATCGCTTATGTGCCTGATGCCTGTGGAGGCTGGAAGAGGGTGTCAGAGTCTCTAGATTTGGGGTTATAGATGACGGTGAGCTGCCAATGTGGGAACTGAACCTGGGTCCTTTGCAGCAGCAGCAAAAGGTCTTAAGCAAGCATGGAGGTGTCTCTCCAGCCTCACTGAGGTCTTTTTGTTTGTTTGAGGCAGGGTCTCACTAGATAGCTCTGGCTGTCCTGGAACTCACTATGGAAACCAGGCTGGACTTCAATCCACAGAGATCCACCTGCCTCTGCCTTCCGAGTACTGGGATTAAAGGTGTGCGCCACCACACCTGGCTCCACTGAGATCTTTTCTTTTTTTTAAATATTTATTTATTTATTATGTATACAGTGTTCTGCCTGCATGTATCCCTACAGGACCAAAGAGAGAACCAGATCTCATTACAGATGGTTTTCAGCCACCATGTGGTTGCTGGGAATTGAACTCAGGATCTTTAGAAGGACAGCTAGTGCTCTTAACCTCTGAGCCATCTCTCCAGCCTGAGATCTTTTCTTTCTTTTTCTTTTTCTTTCTTTCTTTTTTTTGTGTTTTTTTTTTTTTTTTTTTTTTTTTTTTTTTTTTTTTTTTGTTTTTTCGAGACAGGGTTTCTCTGTGTAGCTTTGCGCCTTTCCTGGAACTCGCTCTGTAGACCAGGCTGGCCTTGAACTCACAGAGATCCACCTGCTTCTGTCTCCCCAAATACTGGGATCAAAGGTGTGCGCCACCACATCAACTTGATCTCTGGGAGTTTGAGGCTAGCCTAGTCTACATAGCAAGTTCCAGGATAGCCAGGGCTACATAATAGAGAGGCCCTTTCTCAAAAAAGAGGGAGAATGATAAAAGGAAAAAAGATACTGTAGTGTACAGACATACAGTGAAGCATTATTCATTCAAAAAAATACGTCTTATGGCTTGGATGAATCTTGAAGACACTAAGCTAAGTGAGAGAAGCCAGACACAGAAGGTCACATAAGATTTCTTTTACATGAAATGTTCAAAATAGGTAAAGCCACGGAGACAGAAATTGGATTAGTGGTTGCCAGGAACCGGAACAGAGTGGAAGCCGTGAGTGATTGCTTCATGTGCATGGAATGATGAAAATGTTTTGAAACTAGGAAGGTGGTTGCTGAATTCCGCAAACCATTGCAAATGTACCACATGTCCTTCAGTGGACATGTCAGAATGCATACACAGAACGATCACAACAGAGTTTCTGTCCCCTCCCTTGAGTCAGACTGCTTTGGGGACTGTTGTTGGCAGAAATGATGTTCTGAGACCAGACTAGATAGGACATCATAGTTGCTTCTGCTTTTATTGTAGCTAGAGTTTTCCTGCCTTGCCCACAGTCAAGACAAATCTTTGTCACCCGCCAGTTCCACAGCCGCTCAGACCCAACCAAGTAAACACAGAGACTTATATTGCTTGCAAACTGTATGGCCGCGCGGCAGGCTTCTTGCTAACTGTTCTTATAGCTTAAATTAATCCATTTCCATAAATCTATACCTTGCCACGTGGCTTGTGGCTTACCGGTGTCTTCACATGTGGCTTGTCATGGCAGTGTTTCTCTGCCTCAGCCTTCTGCTTCCCAGAATTCTCTTCTCTCCTTGTCCCACCTACTTCTTGCCTGGCCACTGGCTAATCAGTGTTTTATTTATTGACTAATCAGAGCAATGTGACATACAGACCATCCCACAGCATTTTATTATTAATTTTTGTTGAGAGAGAGAGTGTGTGTGTGTGTGTTGTAATACATGTGAGTGTGTGCCCATGTACACATACATGTCGAGTCCAGAGCAGGATGTCTGGGATCCTTCTGTACTCTGCCTTTTTGCCTTGAGACAGGGCCTCTCCCTGAACCAGAAGCTCTCCATTTTGACTAGTCTGGCTGGCTCTTGAGATCTGCCTGTTTCTACTGCAAATGCTGGGATTACAGGCGTGCAAGCCACGCCCAGCTTTCTATGGGGTCGCTGTGGATTTGAACTCAGGTCTTCATGTTTGGAGGGCAAGTGTAGCTAGAGTTTTTTCCTTTGGGTCCTGCCAAGCCCCGGCGGTTCCTTAGCCCACTTATAAAATAAACACATAGACACTTACGTTATTTAAACTGCTTGGCCATTAGCTCAGACCTGCCATTGTCTAGCTCTTACTCTTATACTAAGCCCATTTCTGTTCATCTATATTTTGCCACGTGGCTCGTGGCTTTACCTGCTGCCTCTACATGATGCTCCTTGGATGGCAGCTAGTGTCTCCTCCTCTCCGCCTTCCTGTTCTCCCAATTCTCCTCTCTGCTAGTCCCGCCTATACTTCCTGCCTGGCTACTGGCCAATCAGTGTTTTATTTATCAATCAATCATCCACAGCAGGCACGTGCTTCCCCACTGAGACATCTGCAGCCCCTGCTCTGTCTTTGTTTTGAGACAGGGTCTTGCGATGTAGCTCAGGGTGGTTTTGAACTCTTGCTCCTCCAGGCTCCACCTCCCAGGATGCACCACAGTGCAGACCCCTCTTGCTTCTGGGTTTTGGAAGCCGCTGCTGTGAATGGCCTCAGGCCCATGGAGAGGTCACTTGGAGGTGTACTGAGGCCCAACTGTCCCAACTAAGGGCCCAGCTCACAGGATGACTATCCACGTGAATGGAGCCATTCCAGCTAGCCTAGCGTCCTGCTGAAACCTCTCCGCAGATCTGCCCTCGATGCATGAGAAAGTCAAAGTTGCTGTTTTTAGTCACAAAGCTTCAGGGTGACATTGTGCAGCAACATGTCTCCAGTGTTAGCTTTAAAAAAAAAAATTACTGGCGAGGTGGGCATAGTGGCGCACACCTTTATTCCCGGCACTTGGGAGGCCGAGGCAGGCAGGTCTCCGGGAGTTCGAGGCCAGCCTGGTCTACGGAGTGAGTTCCAAGCCAGCCAGAACTACACTGTGAGACCTGTCTAGAAAAACAACAATAAATCACTCGTGTGTGTAAATGGGTGTATGGACCACAGTGCATACGAGGAGTTCAGAGGACAGCTTCCGAGAGTTGGTTCTCGCCTTCCACCATGCGGGTCCTGGGGATTGAACTCAGGCGGTCAGGCTTGGCAGCAGGCACTTTGGCCCAC